TGAAAAATTCATTCAGATAATCATGAAATCTGTTACTTCATGCAAACACTTGGAAAATAATATCTATCTTCATATTTCTAAGTTTACATGCAAGTTTTCAGTGGTACACCCATATGATATGTAAGAAGGTCTCTTATCTATCTGGGATAAAGTAAGTTTGTAAACAAAGCAAACAAATTTAAGAGTTGTCCTTTGGAACTCTCCGGTTTGCTTAATAGTTCTATTGGTAAATTTGATTGTTATATATACTTATATTAATTATTTCTGACATTGATTTTCCATAACACTATAGTTCACAAATTTTATGATCAAATTTATTCTAGACATTGTATTTATCAGACAACATTTATGACCTTGCTAAATAATATCTATTAAGAATTACAGCAGCTGAAATGAATCTGTTAACTGTTTAAATTAATTTGAGACTGATTTAAAAATAAATATAGCAGTTGGTTTTGAAAGGCACAAAAGACAAATAATCTAAGAGTGAACTTTTCTAAATGAGTGGCACTAAAATCAAGAAAAATGTGAATTTATACCTTTCGTTTAAAAAAAAATAGTTTGACCCTAAAATAACAATTTCTTTTTTATTTAGAGTTAAAAAATCTTGATTGAACTTCATAATAACTTTCTTATGCCTTTGGCATGTTGGGTATCTCAGATTTATTATCTTAGCTTTTTAAGAGATGAGACTGAAAATCTGGAGAGGAGGTTACCAGAAACAAATGAGAATGGTTTTTAAATTAAAACAGTATGATCTTCACAGTGAAGTTAAAATGATGGATCAATGAGATGCTAGTGATGAACATCTGTTTTGGAAATTTGAGGGTTAATGGAGAATAAGATGCAGTAATAAATTATATATGAATAATGTAAAGGTTAAAATTTCTTTACTTTGTTAAAGTTAATATGTTTGAACAGAGTGGATTATGATTTCAGGAGCCTGAAGAAAATTGAATTGACACAATTTTATAGTTTTACTTCTGGTTGAACGAGAGCAAAGTAAAATACCATAATAAAAACAAGGCTGTCAGTGTATGGCTCAAAAAGAGAATGAAAACTAGTTGAGCTTACTTATTGATATATGTTATATAGTTTTTTTCTGTACCCCCCATATGGCTTTCACAGGTTTGCTTAAATTTTAATAGTTTCCCTATATTTGTTTTACTCAAAGTATTAGAAAGTTGTTAAAAGTTATTGGGAGAATTTTATATATAAATATTTTCTCAAATTAACAATATTTCCATCAAATCAAGATGAATGTTATTCAGCCCTATGAAGAGAAATTGATACAATTTTGCAGATTTTGTTTATGTTTGAATCACTGGCCATCTTTTCCTTAAGGACATAGTTTGTTTACTTTCAATATGATTTTGGTTTGGTTAAGAATGTCCTTGTATATCTTTTGTATTAAATAATCAAAAGTAGAAATTTCTTTCAATCACAGTTCTAAATAACAGCTGTTCGAAAATGCTTTTATTACAAAAATGAATAAATTTGAATGAAAATAACACCAAGACTTATATGGATAACACCTGAACCATGTGAATATGCCACTTACCCATAAGTGGCTCTATTTAATTTCTATATAACCCTATAATGTAACTGCTGGAAAAGATATAATTGCTTTAAGTGTGAATAAAATGATATGTTGGAGTACATCAAAGGGACAGCAATATAACAGCACAAAAAGACAATGACATTATAAGACTGTATGTTGATTTCAATTTCTAAGGTCCTAACGCTGTAATTGTCTGGTGTGCTATCCTTTGGTGTTCCAGATGGTGAGCTGCCCTGTGGTGTTCCATATGGTTGCTACCCTGTGGTGTTCCATATGGTGTGCAACCCTGTGGTGTTCCATATGTTGTGTAACCCTGTGGTGTTCCATATGGTGTGCTACCCTGTGGTGTTCCATATGGTTTGCAACCCTGTGGTGTTCCATATGGTGTGTAACCCTGTGATGTTCCATATGGTGTGTAACCCTGTGGTGTTCCATATGGTGTGCAACCCTGTGGTGTTCCATATGGTGTGCAACCCTGTGGTGTTCCATATGGTGTGTAACCCTGTGGTGTTCCATATGGTGGGCTACCCTGTGGTGTTCCATATGGTGTGCTACCTTGTGGTGTTCCATATGGTGTGCAACCCTGTGTTGTTCCATATGGTGTGTAATCCTGTGGTGTTCCATATGGTTGCTACCCTGTGATGTTCCATATGGTGTGTAACCCTGTGGTGTTCCATATGGTGTGCTGCCCTGTGGTGTTCCATATGGTGTGCTACCCTGTGGTGTTCCATATGGTGTGCTACCTTGTGGTGTTCCATATGGTGTGCAACCCTGTGTTGTTCCTCACCTGTAATATAGATATTAGACTTAGATTTTATAAAAAAATTTCCTTATTAAGTCACATGATTTAAATTCATGTCCTTTTATTATGGTTTATAAATTCCAAACTTGTGATAAATTAAACAATGAACGTCATTAAAGCTGTCAAATATTCATTTGACATATAGTAAATGTACATAACACTTTATAAATCACATGCATCCAACATGCTTTCCTTGATTTACTGTCAACAGGAATGCTCAAACCTAAAAACTGTTGACATCCAAGGACGTATAAATATCTGAAGACAAGACGTATGAATATCTGAAGACAAGATGTATAAATATCTGAAGACAAGATGTATAAATATCTGAAGACAAGACTTATAATTATCTGAAGACAAGACGTATAAATATCTGAAGACAAGACATATAAATATCTGAAGACAAGACGTATAAATATATGAAGACAAGATGTATAAATATCTGAAGACAAGACGTATAAATATCTGAAGACAAGACATATAAATATCTGAAGACAAGACGTATAAATATCTGAAGACAAGATGTATAAATATCTGAAGACAAGACTGGTGTGGACTTCAATGACCAAAAGGCAGTAAAATAATATTGATCCCTACAAATTTGTTTTTTGTTGGGGGAATTAGCCTGAATTCTTGTCTAGTTCTGGTTTTTCATATGATTTGTAATGAAAGATGGGATGAAATGGTTCAAAAGAAAATTGACCTTCCTCTTTAATTGCTGTAGTTAAATAAGGACTTCTAAATGATCATAAATTATACTGTAGTCTTTGACATCAGTCCACAAAGTAATAACTGGTATAGAATGAGGCCATGTAGTCTCTGGGCAAACTTAGTTCACATTATCTTAATTTTATTGTGATGTTCACTTATTCAAAAATCAATATTATTCTGACTTTTGAAGAACTTGATATTGACAACAGAACTTTGGAAGTCTATATTAAAGTTTCATTTCAAATTTTCAAAAATCTGGATATTTTAGAGCTTCACAGATGATAAAGACTCTTGTTATTGATGAAAAAAGTATGTGTGTGTTTGTGTGTTGAAGATGTAGTCCTCTCATCTATTTCTTAACTATGAGGTCAAGAGTGCATACCAAAGAAAATAATATAACCTACATTTGCTTCATAAAGTGTAAAAGGGCCACAAAATAGTAAATATAACAGACTCACTAATTCTCTATAGTAAATGTTAATTTGATACAGAATGCTCCAAGAGTTTGCATAGATTTATAAACTGACATTTAAGTCTTAAATGTGAATATTTGCATATAAGATTTAAATGATGACAGTTAAGGAAATGCCATAAGATCAGTATGTCACTCAAATGATGACAATATGTGTTTTGCTGCATTAAGTCTTGTTGTTTGATTAATTGAATGTTTGCACAGAGAGCTTTACTTTCTTTGACCCCTGGATGTCTTTTTCGATGGCTGTTTGTGTGTTTTGGTGTTGTTGTCTCTTTGACATCATACCTCTCTTTCTTATACCAACACTCTAGCTAGGAGTGAGGTTATATTGCTTTCAACTTGTCCTTCAGTCTGTTCGTTCGTCCAACAAATATTTCCATCACACATTTTCAATTGTCTCTGAAAAAGAAATCACTTTTAAATGGACGCATTTTACCAAGTTTCAAGTTGGGATTTTTCCAGAAAGTCCCTGCATGTTAAGCATAAGAAAAAACTTTTTTTCTCAAGTTTCAAGGGCGAAAAAGGGGGTGCATACTATGCATGAGTGCGTTTTATACACACCAAAAGACGGTAATCAAGTACAACTGAACAGAATGACTTGGTATTTAGTCAAACAGTGATGAGTTCTGATGTACAAGCCTTTCAAATCTATCAGCAACCTACCTCTTGTTTCCAATACTTTGAATCACGAGTGGAGATGTTCTCAAGCATGACAACATGTGGATTCTTGTTATTCCTCTGTATGAGACTAATCTGCATTTAAGGTTTCTGCTATTTCAACAATGAGGTCAAATGTACTTTTATCTATTCTCCTTTTTTGTCGATGATGTTATCTTTGTCTTAATTGCTATTAAAAAGGTCAGTGTAAAAATGTTACAATAAACATGTATTTGGGAGGATCACTTAAGGAATATGTTGTGAGGTCACACTATTCCTTGTTCTGAAAATGTCACTATTAGTTGAAGGCCTTGATAAATAGAAAATCATTTTTTTATCATAAAAACTTGCTCAAGTAAATTAAATTATACGATAAAGGTTTGATTCTTGGGCAAATAGATTGTACTTTTATTATTCTCAGTATACTTGTTTTGGTCATAAGGTTCAAGCATTTTTTTTAACATTTTAACACCATATTGTTTCCAGGAGTAAAGGTCATGTGTACTTTAACAAAATCAAGGTTATGCATACTTTTAACATTCTATTTATATTTCTACAATGCTTCTGTGACAAGTATTGAGGTTACATGTGTAGTCACATCATATTTTCAGGTTCATCGCTATACATTTTTTTGTAACTTGCTCCAGCTCTTTTATGTATATATGACAGTATAGAACAACAGTGAGGTCACATGTACTTTATACATTCTCTTTACTAGCTATTTTATCTGTTTAAGACAGTATAGACCAACAGTGAGGTCACATGTACTTTATACATTCTCTTTACATTTTTAGGTTCCTCACTAGAACTAGCGCCAGCTCTTTTATCAATATATGACAGTATTGCTGCCAGAACAAATGGTGGAATTACATGTAGTATTACTAATGAAAACAATAAAAACAAGAAAATCGCAACGGACAATCAGAGTTCACCTGTAGATGTGGATGATAATGATGAAAGTGTGGATAATCTCTGCAAAATGGCATCCACCTCATCAATTGTCAGTGTGGATCAGGATTGTAAAAAACGACCATTAAGTATTAGCTCAATGTCATCCTCATCATCTTCATCGTTAACACGCCATACACGTAAACGACCAAACCTGTCTCCATTTGATCAAAGATCTTCAGGTGACTTTGACGATAAAATAGAATCAACAAATAATAATTTTAGCGATAGGTTGGACCACTTATTGTATATTGATGACGATGTTCCGAGTGGAACTACAGACGAGGAAATGTCCATTGATACGGATGCTGGGAGTAAATCTAGTGCAGAAACAAACTGTGAACAAATACTTACCCCTAGTCAGTCGAAAGATAGTCTCATAACTCCATCCCGTTCAGCACAATCTCAGGAGACATCAGAGACCAGTGTTCAGATTCAGGACAGCACAGAACCCAGTATACAGAGACGGGACAGCACAAGTCCCCAAAAATACATCTCCTATGTTCAAAGAGTAGTCACGGAAATCATTGAAACTGAGAGAATTTATATCAACAATCTTAAGGATATATTAGAGGTAGGGTTAGACACATTTACATTTTATTTTTTTTAAACTCTACGGCCACAACTGACATCTTGAGAGTTGACACCCATGTAATATTGATAAAGGCTATAGGTCTGCAACACATTTCACAAAAAATCTTATTGAAAATACTTGTAAGTCATTAACATTTCAGTATAACTTACGACCAATATTTTTGTGAAAAGAGCCCCTGTTGTTACATTTAGATAGAAAACAATATCAGTATAGGTGTATATATTTAGTAAAGATGGGTTCTGTATCTATGTCACCATGAGCCACCTAACATTTATATACAATGTATATATAGTAGGTTAATATATAATATATGTAAATATAAATTTCCCAGTATAGAATTTCAGACATTATTTTGATATTTTGCCAGTATATTCTCTCCATGACATGAACCCATTTATTTTATGTAAATATTGACCTATTGTGTAATCAATTGTAATTGATTTTCTTTTTGTATACCAAAATGTCTTTGTTGTTATAGGTGTCAAAAAAAAAAACAGTTATATAAGAACATGATTTACCCAAGATTACATATGTGCACTTGATAAGGAAAGTTTTGCTATTAATAAAGGCTGAGATTTTTTGTAATTTTGAAAAAAAATCCAGTAAAGATTTGTATTGATATGAGGCTGCTATAAATGAGACTTAACACTCTAAGACATAAGCCCGAATCTACAGCTACTTTGTTAAGTTAAGCTCACAGTAAATCGGTTAAAACAAGGCATTATTTTAAAATTTTTTCTAAAATGCTAAAAGAAATAATAACCTATATGGAAATTATATCATACCATAAATAGTTAAATAAAATTACAAGGATGATCAAGTGGTAGATCCTTCCAAAAATTTTTGATAGAGATATCAATCTATAATCAAAGATGGCTGTCATCACAAGTAATACAGTTTTAAATCAGACCTTGGGGAAGATATTGTAATTCAAGATTAAATTTGAAGCTGATGTTTAATTAAGAATTGAATGCTTCTTTTTTAAATTTTATTGGGGTGTAAAAGCATTGATCAAAGCACATTTTGTATGAAGCCCGGAAGCTTTATACTAAAAATGTGTGCAAGATCTAATCAACACTTTTACAGCCCTATAAAATTACAAAAGGAAGCATTCAATTCTAATACCTACTTTTATATGGTACAACTTTAAAATTACAAGTTTTCAGTTTGTTTTCCTTCATTTGTTTTCCATCACATTGTAGTGACCTTGTCATGAGAAGCATGTGCTGAGTCATAAATGTTGAATTTTATAGAGAAATACAATTTGATAATGTAATGCCTCATGATTGCTTTTAGCCAATATAAAAAATACAAATTCTGAGGAAACATACATGTAATGTAATTATTAAAGAGTAATGCAGAGATGAAGTAATTGAAGCACTGTAGATCAGTGATGCTAGTTTATGTAGGGGACCTGTAAAAGGGTTTTGATGCATGGGGTACCTTAAAAATAGTATAGTCAGGGACCTTTACAATATGGACATCTCTATACCCTTTCTTTGTCACCTTTTGTCTAGACCAACACATAAGATTACCTGGTAGGTATTTACAATACCTTTATCATTGAAGTGTTTTTATTGCTGTAATTGTAAAATCACACTAAATACAGACAAAATATTTCTATTGCAACACCTCAAGTGTTGACATAGACTAGGGGTGTGACATGGGTCACATTTAATCTGAATATTCTGCAGAATGACACAGTGGTTCGGTTAGAAAAATCATTGATCACTATTGGTAAAAATGGGTGTGTTTATTTAACAAAGGCCATCATAGTTTACGCTACAATTGGAAACTATAGTGTTTATCTTAAAAGGTCTTTATAATTCATATTTTGATGTTTTATAAGATCATCATTGCACTTCCTCTGAAATTCTTTGTCGATGATTAAAACTATTTATATATCTTTTTCATACGGTATATATTTGTATATGTTTCTGAATTTATTCCCTAGATTTGTTTGTGGACTTTTACTGAAGAATCAATGAAGATTTTTCTGTAAAAATAATTTTGAAATAAGCTTTGCTTATATTCACGTTATGAAACACATGTATTACATTCTGAATTAGCAGTACATATATATATGAACATAGGATGTGGAAATCATGAGTTTCAAATTTCCACTTATCTGGTATTTATACTGATATTGTTTCAGGGAATACACCCAACCTAAATATAGCACTCTTCCTTATCCACTTACATAATCCATTTCCATTCATAGAAATGCAACAACAACAAAAAATGTCAAAAAATCAGAGGGGGATTCAGGATTTCAAATTATAGCTGAACAAAACCAAAGTTAAGGTTTGCTGAGAGAAGCATTATGCATTCATCATTTATGTTTGGTTTTCTGATCAGACATCGATAGTCTGTTAATTTATATCTGTTAATCACTGTGAAAATTAGCACAGATGCCAAATTTTAAACCCGTTGTCTTAGTTCATTGATCATGAATGTGTGATTGTACCAGCGAGAATGGTATTTTATGGACTGGGCAGTTAGTAACCTTAAGTGACATTTGTATTTCCAGGGTTACATAGAATTTATCAAGAATTCTCCAGACTTCAGTGACATTTGTATTTTCAAGATTACACAGGATTTATCAAGAGTTCTCCAGATTTAAGTGGCATTTTGTATTATTAAAGGTTACATGGGATTTATCAGGAGTTCTCCAGATTTAAGTGACATTTGTATTTTCAGGGTTACATGGGATTTATCAGGAATTCTCCAGAATTGAAGATTTCTGAGGACCATATCTCTGCACTGTTTGGTAACATTAAAGAAATCTATGATTTTGGAAAGTAAGTCTACATGTCCAATAGTAGCTAAAGGGAGATAACCTATGATTAGAATATTTCTTAAAAAGGTTCTACAGTGAAACTTTCAAATTATTAAGAGTATTTGTTTATGAAATTTTTAAGGAGTGTGGGGAAAAAGTTGAAAAAAAACAACTATAAAACACATGGTTGTTAACACAAAAAAAAAACCCACAACACACATGTTGTAAACCAAAAAATCCACAAAACACATATTGTAAACCAAAAAACCCCCAAAAACACATGTTGTAAACCAAAAAAAACTAATTGATGTTTCCATTTGTTAATTAACCAATAATAGACAAGTGTCTGTGTTACAGCAAGCTCTCAAATGACCAAGAGTTAGACAGATGCAGATCCAACATAAAACAAATTTTTTTAAGTAGCCGTTAAGCACTGTGAAAAAAACAACATATGACTAGCACTAGTTAGAAGCAATAAATGTGGTATTATTTTTTTTTTTATTTATTTTACAGAGATTTTTTACATGACTTGGAAACTTGTGGTGATGATCCAGTGAAAGTAGCTGAATGTTTTGTCAAGAATAATGATGGCTTTAGAATTTATGCCCAGTACTGTACTAACTATCCCAGGTAATTTAACATAGACATGATCTGCATACAATCTGTACAAATGTTTGTGATACAAAAGAGTTTGAATTTTGTAAGTTTATTGTCCAGTGGCTAATATTTCATGTGTATCCAGGATGAGAACAAATTAACAATAAATCAGTTAATTGGATAAAAAAATGTGGATTGGCTGGTATGGAGGACAGGAATTTGGAGCACTATTATGAAACCACCATGGTGGTTGCATAGTTTAAACTTTGTAAGGATTTTCTGAAATGATTCTCTTTCCAAGATTTAGATTATGAATCATAAAACATTGATTTCTTTTCTGTCAATATGCGACAGCTTGCTTCCTTTTTTTGTGGTAAAACATTGAGCAAATTTTAGAACAGCAAAAACCTATGAACGCTTAAGCATAAGTGAAGTACATGTTGTTATGAACTACTTGAGAGACCAAAAAATGGTTGAGAAAAGGGCAGTACCAAATATATTCGGTCAAATATTTTTAAAATGACGTCACAGGCTATTTTTTCTTGTCAGGGCCAAACTATGACAATAAAGGATCTTGTTTATTTTTATTTCAGTGCTGTTGAAGTATTAACCATGATAATGAAAGATCCTGATTTATGTGAAATATTCAAACACCAGCAGTTGTCTCTAAACCACAATCTACCCTTGGGAGCATATTTACTTAAACCTGTCCAAAGAGTTCTCAAATATCATCTTCTTCTACAAGTAAGTACATCTTGTAGTCTCTAAACTACAGTCTACCATTGGGAACAAATTTACTTAAATCTTTCTAAAGAGTTCTCAAATATCATCTTCTTCTACAAGTAAGTACCTGTTGTTAGTCTTTAAACCATAGTCTACCATTGGGAACTTATTTACTAATATAGTCCAAAGAGAACTCAAATATCATCTTCTACAAGGATGTACCTCTCAGAGCATAACATCATTGCTTGATGGATTGTTGTTCAGCATCAAATATTAATGGAATTTTAACACAGGAACAATTGTAACTATAAATTAGTAGGTTTTGATAAATTGTTGAGAAATGAGAAATATTGGATAAAAATGTGTATGATTATAAATGACGAACAACAAATAAGTTGAAAAAAATTCATGGAGTATATTTTTATTCAAGGTTTTTTCTCTTTTCTTATTTTGCAGAATATTCTAAAGAATTACAGTAAATCTGAGCCTGGTCACGACATCCTTACAAAAGCCATGGATCACATGACCAGTATGGCACATCACATTAATGAGATGAAACGTAAACATGAACATGCTGTACGAGTCCAGGAGATACAGAGTCAGTTAGAGGACTACGAAGGGGAGGATCTAACGAGGCTTGGAGAACTTGTTTTAGAGGTAAGGCTTTTATTTAATCTCAGGAAAAAAGGGGTCAGTTAGAAGGCTATGAAGGGGAGGATTTAGCAAGGCTTGGAGAACTTGTTTTAGAGGTAAGGCTTTTATTTAATCTCAGGAAATAGGGAGTCAGCTAGAAGGCTATGAAGGGGAGGATCTAAAGAGGCTTTGGGAACTTGTTTTAGAGGTAAGGCTATTATTTAATCTCAGGGAAATACAGAGTCCGTTAGAAGACTATGAACTCTCACACATTTGATTCTTGCCAAATGACTTTGAAATTTTTATCAATAGAAAATCCCAGACCTATGAAAAATTAATATTGTCTGAATACTAAAGACACTAAATGTTATGCAATAGTTATCACTATCATGACTGCTAGGAATCAGAATAAAAAATAATAAACAATAAAAATAGTGTTTTTTTTTTTTATGGCACAGTAATTTTCTATTGTAAAAGTTTAAAAACTGAACAATAATGAAATTTGATTTTTAACATTTTGAAGAATTATCTTATTAAGGAGGAAATACTCTGTAGGTTTTTATACTAACATAAATTTGATTTGAATAAAAAAAAAATAATGATTTTAAATATTTTATCAACATTTTAATTGTAATCCTATGAATCACAATGAGTATTTTGGACATGAGTTTGCCATTTAATTATTTTGTTATCATTTTCAGGGATCTTTTCGTATTTATGGTGCTAAAACCTCAAGACAAGTGTTCTTATTTGAGAGAGGAGTTCTGATTGGCAAACGTAAAGAAGATGGGATGCTGATATGTCGTGTTATGATTCAGGTAACACGCTGTTTGTACAGAGAGCCCTAAAAGATTGTACTAATTCAAACATTACTGTTTGTTGAGAATTTAATGCATACATTTTAATTGCAAATTTTAACAACCAACAAAATTTTGAAATTTGATAGTTAAGTTCAGAGACGATTTTTCTGTTAGCACATATTTAATTATATGTAACAACGTTTATATCAGAATTATCATGCAACAGGTCAATATATAAAAAACACATAGCTGAGGGGGTGATAGAGCAGATTGTTACCCCGAGAAAACATTGTCAACTGAGTTGAAGCCCTGGGTTGACAATGTCTTTTAGAGGGGTAACAATCTGCTCTATCACCCTCTCAGATATATGTTATTTAATTTATCATACTGAATGTTTTGTTATTACTGTCTATTAAATTTCAAATTAAAAGTAATAAACTATGACGTCTTTTACGTAACAATCATCTGTATTTATTAAAGCACACAATTGATGAAGGGTTTCCGTGAAGAGTAATAGAGTATTTGCCATGGGATTGAGTAAATTGTCTCCCTCCTATCAACCAATCAAAATCTGGCATTTTGACATGAAGTATAATAATATAATAATACCCCACAAACAAAGTTTTGGAGTACGGGTATATTAAAATCAACTAGTCAGTTGTCTGCTAATGTACCTTGCAAGCGCAACAGCAAGATGGATATGTATTAAACTTGACACAGTTGTAGAAAACTACCTGAAGATGTGATCCTGGTCCAACATGTTGAAGGGGAGATAAACAAATCTACTTACTTCAAAATACTTTAGTGCGAGTGGGGGTATCTTTTTTTTTAGTTCACTCATAGTTCTAGTTTGAATTTTACACAGAGATAATTCAACAGTTGTTAGGTATTGAACTCAGTATTGCTCAGGTGAAACAGCTTGTTTCAGGTGACCTTATTTTGGATTTATCTGAATTCTTCCTGAGCAATTGAGATTTCAGCTAGGACCTGATATTAGCTATTCTATTTTAATGACTCCTTATAAAATTTGTTGAAACAGTTGAAAATCTTGTAATTATTGTACCTTGTACATAGTTTTTAGAGATTAAAGTATCTGTCTATGTAACAAATGAATTTGCCTAATTGAAACTGAAATTCCTGTTCTCTATATTACAGTGCTCAAACTTGATGTTAGTGGAGAGTATACCAAAGGAACCATTGAGTTTTCAAGTCATACCCTTCGATAACCCTAAAGGTTACATTACATTACAGGTCAGTATTGTCATGGTTACGATGGAGTCATTAATAACCAAGACAAATGTTAACTATTCTATAGGAGAGAAGCAAATTTTTATTGTGTTCTACACTGAAATATAGAAATCTTTTGTTCTTACAATTTTATGTTATAAGTCATTACATTATGTGAATATTTCATTTTATAGTAAAAAGAGTAAGTTTAGTTTTAAAGGCCCATATTTGGGCACGAACATTAAAGTCCATTAAATAAAGATAAAAAATGTTTTATGTTATGTATAGATAGACATGAAAAAAAGAGAAATATAACTATTTTGGTCAATCTTTTCTTGACATTTACACCCCAAATTGGCTAGAAACAGAGGTTTCTGTGAAAGTTTACAAAATTGTCTGGATTTCAATCAAATTTTGTTCTAGGAAACAAAAAGAGAAGGATTTCGACATACTCAATATGCAAGTCAGATATGTAAATAGTTATCACAACATTATGTTTAAAAAAAGATACTTTTTGTCAACACATGCGCTACAGTTTTCCATTCCTAAAAATCACTGGATATTTACATGTTTTCATTGAATTTTCATGGAAAAGCAAAATTTGTACTATTTGCGACGTTATAAAAAGAATGCTAATATCTTACTTTTCAACAAAAAGACCTATTACTTATCTAGTCATTGTTTTGGCTATAATTCATTGTGATATTGGTAAAAAAAAATTCCCAATTTGAAATTTTAGCTTAGAAATAGGGGCCATTTTAGGACCTTATCGAACCTACTCCTTTGAATCTGATAATGATTAGAATGAAACATAAGTTATTCATGATAGATATGAGTACATATTATTATTGGTTATAATACTTGTATTTTAGGCTAGAAACTTAGACCAGAAGAGGAAATGGTGCCAAGAAATAAAAAGATTAATTATTGAAAGTTTTAAAGGCAAAATTCCTGAGAAGGTCAAAGGTCTTGTAATGCAACTGGGAAAAAGCCGTGAAGAAGGTAAAATGCAATTCAATGATGTTAAACATTAATACATATAAAATAGAAGATCATGGGCCCATGCCAATGACACAAACAAATCATAAGGTCAACATATATAATTAGTTATCTTTAAAAAACAATACATAAAGACAATTGAAAATTTCAAAGTCATTGAAATTACTTTGAATAGAAAAAATTATATTAAATTTTATGATTCTATGTGCAAAAAGTTATTATTGAACTATGCCTTTCTTACAATTAGTGAGGAGTGGTATGTGTGTGATTTGAATGATAAATATAATATTATCAATTTCAGAGTTAGCTAAGTATGTTACATCGATTCTCATAGGATTTTATATCATACTGATACTAAATATATTCTAATGAATTTCAGAGGCAGCCAAGTATTCTACCGTAGATTCCCGTAGGATATCTCACCATACTGCCCCTGAGTACCTGGAGAGGAGGCAGAGAATGAGGAGGAAGTCAGGGACAATACTGACAGATCTACTGAAAACACAAAGAGGCAAGAAAGGACAGAGAAGGGTAAGGTCAATTAATGATTGATTATTACTTACCATATAGTGGAGAGTTCTGTACATATATATATTTAGGGGCCTCAGTGGCCGAGTGGTCTAAGTAGTTACTACTGTAATCACTAGCCAGTCAACACTGAGGTTGTGAGTTCGAACCCCGCTCGTGCAGGTGCACTCGACTCTAATCTTAATTGACTAGGATTGTCAGTTTTCCTATCGAAGGTCGGTGGTTTTCTCCGGGCACTCCGGCTTCCTCCACCAATAAAAACTGGCCGCCACGAAATAGCCCAAAAGCGGTGCTAAAAAGTGGTGTTAAAACACCAAAATCAAAATCAAATCATATATATATTTAATCCTGACTACATTTTCATGTGCCTGTCCCAGGTCAGGTATCTTGTTAGAAGTTGTCATACTTCATATTTTATTGTATTTATATATTTAGAGAACTTGGTAATTTAGTGGGTTTTCGTTTGTTGCTGTATATCATATTTATTTTTAGTTTGTAGGCTGTTAAATTTTTTACATTTGTCATTTCCGAGCCTTTTATAGTTGACTATGGGTTATGGGTTTTGCTCATTGTTGAAGGCCTTACAGTTGTAAACTTCTATGTCCTTTGGTCTCTGGTGGAAAGTTGTCTCATTGGCAATCATACCATATCTTTTTATTTTTATATTGATGGCAGATCATAAATTGTTTCTTATTTGTTAATAATAATGTCTTTAACAAACATAGTAAATGATTTGATTTGCCAGTAAAGCCATTTTGGTTTTTTTCTTGATGACCAAAATCATCTCTCAATATACTACATGTACATTGCTAAATAGAATTAGTCAAACTTAAAATACATTGTGTACTATTATGTAGAAAAAATGGGATAACAACAAAAAACAAAATGTGAAAACAAGTTACTAATAAACAAAAAGAAGACTTTGAATTTAAAGTAACAACCAATAAATTCATTCGTTAATATAGAGTTAAGGATGTTCGCTTGTCATATTTTGGAATTTTTGTCAGATTTTCGGAATCCTCTGGTTTTATCCATTCAAATGCATTAAATTTTTTTGCCCATTGACCCCCATTTTTCTTTTTATAAATCTTTTAAATGCATAATTATAAGCCACCTGTAAAAGTCTTACAAAATCTTTGTTATTTTTTAATAGTTTTTGAGAGCTTTAACTTGTCAATGATAAAGCTATGAAAAGTCAAGAGAAAACATTTTCCCGCCAAAATTTCAATGGCTAATATCTCGAAAACAAGCAAATTGAACTATATAATTTTTTTGCTCTTTTGCTTCCTTTATTTATCCCCTTTCAGTATACACTAGTGTTATGAAAAGCTTGTTATTTTGAAACTGAGTAGCGAACTTCCTTAAGGAGATTTGTGGTAGGATTGCCAATGAGACAAGTATCTGACAGGAGAACTTATCACTTTATCTAAAGTGAACCAGTCTTTGCTCTTAGTTCTAAATTGCTAAGTGGAGAAGCCGCAAATATGAATTTTACAGTCTGAAAGGAAAGATACTTAAATTTCCAAAAGAACCCCATAAAACAAGAAACAAATAAGATGCACCTATTCATAAGAAGGAGCAGTTGTAATTGGCTTAAGACATAAATGTAGCAGCAATAATAAAAGATATATTTGATAAAAAATAAAAGCCTGTTTTTGCTCAGACTGCATGTTAAGGATGTATATTTGTCTTTTTCAGGCAGAATCAGTGAGTCCTAGATCTGTAAGTAATAATTAGTTGTAATGCTGATACACATCTAATATTTCATATATGTAAAACATTTCATATTTGTTTCTTTGCAAAAACTTTTGGATTACCAAATGTTTTTTTTTACCAGATTTGCACTTGCATGAGCATCCTGACAGATGCCTCATGTGGAGCAGGAACTACTTACCCTTCTGGAGCACCTGTGTTCATCCCATTTTTTGAAGGGGTTTGTGTTGCTCAATTTTTAGTTTTCTATGTAATGTTTTGTGTTTTGAATGTCCCAATGGTATCTCTCTCTCTTTTTTTAAAATTTGGGCATATTTTACAGACAAATTTTATCATTACAGAGTCCACCACCAGAAAGAAAAGGATTGTCTCACTCACCTTCCACTCCTAGTGCTAGAGTTAGTATATCTTCTTATTCTTACATTATCTATAATTAGTTCTCAATGGTTTTTATCAACTTTATGGATTTACATTCTATATAAATATTTTGATTGATGCATATGTTAAAAATTCTCTGCTTTTAATTTCATGAAGAACAGTTAACTGCCAAATTTATAAAGTAATTTGTATACTGAAAATTCAGAAATTATTTTGAGGTGTTTATTAATGCCTATAATACGACTGGGTGAGTATCGCAATAATAAGAACTCGCATTCTGATATCTGATACATATATCTGTATGCAGATTTTCCTGAAATTGCAATAATTTATCTAGCATTTTGGTCCTTTCTTCAAAAATTGCAATAATAAATGTACACAATAATTTCTGAATCTATAGTAATCCTCTAACTTTGTCAAAAAATTATTGAGTTATCTCCCCTATACTGATATGAAAATTTTGCAGATTTCAGATATCGATTTGTTCTCGGACTTGTTACAGTTGTTTGATTGATGGTGAGAACAAGTCAGCATTATTTAACATGAATGTTTCTTGTTAAAATGATTTATCCATTGTTGGCCTGTCTGTTATTTAATTCTGTCCAGTTCTTTCATATTTTTCAACAGGCTTGTTTCTCTTACTTTACCTACAAAAATATTATCAGTTCATAAGCATGATGATCATGGCTAATTTTGGTATTAAAAAGAAATAACCAGTTAAATTATATTTTAACAATTTGAACTCTTATGATTGTCCCAGAAATGCATGAAATTTGGTGCTGTTATTTTCCATCGGCCATTTTGAATTGTTCATGCATCTTTACAAATTGTTATACATTTTTACAAATTCATAGTTATGGCATGAACATTTTATATTAAAAATAACATTAAAATACATTCTATTCATTTAACACTGAAGCTGTGAGTTGTAAATTTAATGGTAAAATTTTGATACACCAGATTATTTTTACTACTTATTGCAAATAAGCAAATTTTTTGTGAATTTATATAAGGTATTTTTATTTTCCAATTTTGAACTATTTAAGGCAAAATAACTTGTAGTTTTCCTATCTGTTTTATCATCAATCGTTATTAATTTCAAACTTTATGTATTTATATATAAAAATTTCATATTGAAATTGGCGAAAAAATAGCTCAAGAATAAGTTTTTAGGAAAAAAATAGTTTGATAGAAAATATTTATTGAAAGATTGGTACCAAAAAATTTAGCCTTTAACATGTATTTCATAAATAATATCTTTCTGTATTATTAAAAACTTTGATAAACAATGGTGTCTTCTTATAATCTGACATTGGATCATATGCTTTGTAACCTGGAAAATTATATCTTTCCTATGATATTGCAAAACAGAGGATAAAAGAGGTAAAGAAAAATAAAAGCCTCTGTTTCAGTATGAAGTCAATTTTTCATACCTCATTATATAAATTTAAATTCAAATAATGATTCCTTAAATCATTGAATTGTGAGGACATTTCTCTCAGCTCTTTCTTAATCGTTACCAAAAAATTTGAGTTTTATCATTTTAGAATGAATTAATGACACTTATATTTATATTTTTCAGGAGGTATTAAATAGTTCCAATACAGACACACCAACTCTTTATGTGCCTCCATCTGTCTCGCCTACAAAGGTAGTAAGGAGTACTAGTTTTAGGCAGGCTGTAAAACGTCAGCCATTGAGATCTGTGGACTTTGGACCCTTAGATGACAAAGAGAATACCTCACAAATTAAACAAGAAACACCAATATCATCTAGAAGGTCTAAAAGTTTCAAACGTGCAACCAAATTGCAACCATTACTCTCAGTATCTAATGATACATTTGAATCCATAGCGCCAAACAGTCATGAACAAGATGCATTTTACACACCGTCAAAAAAATCGGAAGGACTGGAGTTTTCCTTCTCTTCTCCTTCAACTCCATCTGAAAATTCAAGTTCACCTAAAACATTTAATAAATTCATTAGGAGTGAAACAGAGAAACTGTGCAATGATAATTCAGGGTCTCTGTCTCGACACAGTCGGTATTCTAGTATGCCGGTATTAAACACTCTGGAACCGTCATCTCCATTACTGCGTAAACACAGGAAGTGCAGTGAAGAAATCACTAGTCAGGAAAACTCTTCATTGAAAAAGAGGATATTTGATACAAAGTTGTACTTTAAGAGGGACAGTCCTGATCTTAGGAGAAGAAATAACTCCGTTTCGGCTTTTCACGATTCGTTCATAAAGAAATCAACAGAAAATTTATCCAGGAAATCGACAGAACACCTATCACAGAAAGTGGGACCAATAACATTAACAAAACCTCTACCATTTATATCATCATTTGATACAAAGCCTAAAAAACAGAACATTAAAAAGTCTGTGTCATGTGGTGCTGAATCAGGGGAGATAATCAATGAAGATCCATGGGAAAGGAAGACCTCAACACTGGTAGTCCCACAGAATCATACAAGGACCCATTCTATTGGTTGTGAAGGGGATATTGACAAAATGGACTGGATAGTTTATGCCAATAGAAATTCACTTCCTGTAAACGGATTTGACATTGGACCAAAATTATATAAATATTGCACCCCACCAAGGTCAACAATGGATTTGGCTCAGGCACAAATAAAACGTGAACATTTACAGGGAGATAACTCAGTTAGGATACAAAAGGGAGATAATCAATTAGATTTCAAAAAACATATGTCTAAAGTTTTACGCTTTCCGTCAGATAAATCAAAATCAGACAATTGTTTGGATGACAATCATATCAAATCAGAAGAACTCAATGATTTTCCTAATTTTGGTGCTTTACCCGTTGTAAAAGTTGCGAAGTCACAACCAAAATTAAACAGATCAAATTCTAACCCAACGTCGACATTACATAAACATCCACTGAGACATTTCAGTAGTCCTTCATTATGTGATGATCACCATATCGTCAAGGACCATGAACAGATTATAGCAGAAATGGAGGATTATTTGAAACGTTCGGAATCCACATCAACAGTCAGTTCGGTTAAATTTCCTTCAAATGTCATAAATAACCCTGTAGAAAATGAAGAAAATAAACGGGATTCTTGTGTTTCTAATTTTTCTAACTCTTCATATGAGAGTACAGATACAGCGCCAAGCTCCCCAGGTGTGGATAATTTTATGGGATCACTGAAGCATAAAATTCACGATTTAAAACAGAAACTGTCTCATAGACGTTCTGGTTCATATGACAATCGGGATAGCTCTGATAATGAATTAGACAATGACAAATCAAAACCTAAGGAAACCAGATCAAGTTTGTTGTCCTTGTTTACTAACAAAGCTAAGGAGGGTGCCAGTACAAATTTACAAACAGTTTTACATGCTGGTGACTGGGGTAGTCCTTTCATCGGCCAAAGAATGGCTGAACAAGAGCCTACCTATATTGACATAACACTGTCTCTCACTCGACCAAAGGATAAATGTGATCAATACAAAGTTGATGTTAATGGTCAAACAAAACCTTCCACAAATATTCAAATTGGAGACTTGGAGGCTTCTGAAAATTTGCATCTTCAAAACTGTGACTCCGCCTTCTCCATTCAAGGTGATATGGCTTTCGGCAATAATATAGACGACTCACCTCGGAGTCAGAGTAGTGATGATAAATCTGAAATCAAAAGAGTAGGATCACTATCTTCAACAGACAGTATTTACGAGAAACAATTTTCTATTGCTTTCGATGATGGGGAACCTTTTCGTGACTCTGCCGTTTATTGTGAAATGGACCCAGATCAAAATACAACAAAATCAGAATCAAAGATACCCGCTCGTGTTCCTATCAAATCATATGTACAAAAACTTGAGGAGAAAACTCAACCTGTTCAGATTCCTGTAACTAAGGTTAAACAGAGAGAACCTGGTGCTATTATTAAAAAAAGACTAGAAAGTCTGCATACAAATTGTTATAAAACAAATAGTCGACCATCCAGTGTTGAACGAGAACTCAGATTCTATAGCAGACCTTCAAGTGTTGAAAGAGAATTACGAATTTCTAGTCGTCCTTCGAGTGAAGAAAGACAAGTTAGAAGTGTTAGTGTCGATAAAGAGTTACCTCCCCGATTGTCTGAATTTGACCGACCGTGTCTTCGTAGGGAGATGTCGGATGCAACATATCGTCTTCCATCAGTCAATCGTTACAGTGATGAGATGTCTACGACCGTGTCCACTAGCAGGCTGGACCAACTAAACATTGATTTGAATAATCTGATTGTTATGAGAGGTTGGGTTAGACAGCTGATTGATAAATTTCAACAATCTAAGAATTGATATGTAGTCATGGTTACATTTATTATGACATAGTTTATATTACACTAATGTATGTAAAGGTCCTTTCAGCATGCTTGTGATTAGTAATAGTGCTCCGTTGATTTTAAAGATATATAGAATTGTTGTTGACTTTTTTTACATTACACATTTGTTATTGAAGCAAAATCAAATCTAGTTTTTATAATACTTTTAATATGATCCAGATTAGAAGTTGGATTTTTTGGAGAAAATATATATTTTGACTAAAAATAAAATATAATACATGTACAATGTACAATGTATTTGCACTATGGATCCTATGGATAGGAGAGATTGATATGAGTTGATTGTCCAATTTTTTAGTTCATTTTTTTTCTTATTTCTTCTGTTTCTCTTTGTTGAAAATTTTGTAAATGTTTACAGAAACCAAGATGTCTGTAATTTAGTGCAATAATTGTGTTGTTCTCATTAGTTCCTGTTATACTTTAGAGATAATCAGTAACCAAATGTGAATATTTATGTCTTCTGATTTTTTGTTGTATTCATTGGCAGATCAAGGTTTAATAATTATTTACCAGTGGCTGATCCAGGTGGGCATATAGGATCTTTGATCACCTAAAAAAATAAAATCTCGTGTTTCTCACAATTTATATGTTTTTTAGCATAAAATTGTCCAAAATTTGTTTCACCTTGCTCCCCTGCAGTTTTCTGAAATTAAGCCCCCTTTCAAAAATCCTGGATACCCCTGTCTACTGACTTATTTTGGACACAGTTCGACATAACCCTCAGTGACCTTCAGATTTTTACTGCTGACCATGTCAACACTTGTTACTTAAGTGATAACCATTTTCTCTGTTGACAATGATATTCTATTCTGTTTTGATTAATTTCTTACTTGATAATAGTGATAATAAATATAGAAGGTTAGATGTCAAAAGTTTAAACAGGACATTGCTACCAAAGTACTTTCTATCACGTCAGTAGTCGTTTATGTTTATAACATTTACACTTGATTATTTTTTGTTTTTCAAGTGTTAAATGCTATTTATGATGTTATTAAGCAAATGTTTGCTGCTGATATTTATATTAAAAAGATTGATTCAGCACTTCCATATGTGTTGCATTGCGTCAGGTTTGAAAAAAGTGGCACTAATGTAACTCAGGATCATAAATGCTTACCGTATTTTGTTGTGTATAATACGCACTGTTTAACCCCAAAAATGTAGTTGTTTGAGGGGATGCATATTATACACAACTGTAGTCAGTGTTTTGGGTTTTTTTTTTTTGTATAATTTTTGTTAAGATATCCCAAAAATTGGTATTGCCCAAACTGTACCAGCTATTCTGGATATTATGAGAGATTGCAAGTAACTTTACTATCAATTCTGACTAGGCAGTTTTAATTTCCACAACTATCAATTTTCAAGCCTTTTAACAATCTAAATAGAATTTACCACTTGCAAGTAACAGTCTGAATTAAATTTGACCTCTGGCAAGTAACAATCTGAATTAAATTTGACCTCTGGCAAGTAACAATCAGAATAAAATTGACCTATGGCAAGTAACAATCTGAATTGAATTTGACCTCTGGCAAGTAACAATCTGAAATGAATTTGACATCTGGCAAGTAACAATCTGAATTAAAAGTTAACCTCTGTCAAGTAACAATCTGAATTAGCTTTTAAATTGACCACTGGTAAGAACAAATTGGTTAACATATAAATAATTTCTGCTGTAACAGCTAATACATGTACACCATTGATAATTCATTTTGAACAATGTCCCTAGGATTATTTCTTAAAAGATTTATCTCCTATGCGGAAAAAGTATTTTGTAATAGCCAAATTATTTTTTCAATTATAGTTACCTGTGATGTTAAAAACACTAAAACTTTATAGAGTTTTTATTTTTACCTTTTACAGGTTTTTTTACCAAATATTTTGTAAAACATTACCACAATTGGTACCAACCAAAGAATGACAACTCTTAAAAATGGGAGACAACTCAAATCATGTATGCAGTAAAACATAAAAGAATTTAAAGTTCAGCCACTGGGAGTAGATAATAATGATTTTGAATATAACAAATACAAAATATGTAGGATCTTAAGAGAAAAATAATTGTGTTGTTAACCAATGTGATGATTTTTCATCAAATAATATGATGAGTGACCAATATCTGTATAGGGCTTTCTTTAGGAATCCTAACAGAATCAATTTTTTATTTAATTTTTTTTATGTGCTTTCATAAGAACTTACAATGCTTTGTTTTATGAGTAAAGTTTTCGATAACATTAGAGCAAATTGTTCCAACATCAAGTTTAGTATCAGTTAGCAAATTAGCAATGTCACACTGCCCAAAATTTCACTGCAAATCACACAGTCAGAAGAGTTATTCTATCAGGAAAACTTAAGGACTTGGCTGACAAACCTAATGTAGATTAGCTTCAGACATTGTTAATTCAAATAATGTAGTCGTGACTTAATAAATATTTCTACCTTTTATGTCAGTATGTAGGATCACTTGTATAGGACTAACTTGGAAGATTTATTACACAAAGGTTGATTGATTGCAAGTTTTAAAAGAAGGATGACCATGGTATTTGATAAATTGTTGAACCATTTTTTTTGGGATGATTTATATTTTTCCATATAGAAGAAGGTAGTCATCATTTCTTATGATAAACTATTGTTCCGTTTTTCCAGTAGATAAAAATAGTTTACAAAAGTTCAACTAATTATCTTTTTGCTTTAAAAAGCTTTGGGAATTTAAGGCCAGATTTTCAGCCTGATATATCTATTAAAAAAGCGAAAAAATTTAACTACAGTATTACACAAAAGAGTTACAACTCAAATATTTAATCACTTGTCACAATTAATGCCAATATCTTATAACTGTATTACAGTTTACCCATAAACAAACCATGGTTTATACAAATGATTTTCAATGTTTTTTATTTGTTAACCGAGAATAAATTTTAAGGTAACTTAACCTCCTCTCAATAGGCCTAAAATTTACAAATTAATGCAAGTATTTGCATTACTTTTTGGTAACAATTTTTTTTGGCGGGAGAGGAAGTTTTGAGGTTATAAGAGATCATTTGTCTTTAAAATTTAAGAAACTCCAAAAAAGTCACATGTTTTTGCATAAAGTTTAGTTCAACTAAATACATGTATGGCTGCATACAAAGATGAAAATGATATTTAAAGGTCATAAGTTATCTGGCCTTTTTCAAAAACATAATTGTCTAAAACAGTCAGCATGTTAAGCAATGGTCAAAGGCATTTTAAAAACATTTCACACAGTATATTTAACCTTTAATGATCCTAGTGCATGACATTTGAATGTAAAAAAAATGCGAAATTTCCTCCTATGTAAACATGTTAATGAAGAAAAACAATCTTAGGCATATAAGCTCCTATAGTGGGCACTTCGAAGACATTTTACAAATATGTATTTAACCTTTAAGGATTAGAATGTGAGACATTTTAATGATTTATTTATTATGAAAGTGCTATGCAATGTATTGTTGTACATATATACTACTGTGTACAAATGAATCTATGATTTTATTAAATTAACAATCAGCTTTTTTGTTTTTTAATTACACCACACAAAGTACTATATAAATGTAGATATTTGGCCACAGAGTGGCACAGATCATTTTGTTTTTATTGGGGTAAAGATTGCATTCAAAACCCTCATGTTGCTGGCTTCAAGTATTGACAGCTAACATTTATCCAGACTTTATCACTACTTTTGAGATAAACAAAACATTATATACATCCTATCAATGAACATTTAAAGAAATTTATCAATGAAATATCATTCAAATTACAAAATGATATGTGTGGATCCAGGATTTTGAAAAAGAGTGTTTCTTTTGGCAAGTCACTGGTTGGAGTGATATAGGTAATAAATCTGTGCATTCGTATTTGTTCTAGGTAATAAAATTGAGAATGGAAATGGGGAATGTGTCAAAGAGACAACAACCCAACCAAAGAGCAGAAAACGGCTGAAGGCCACCAATGGGTCTTCAATACAGCGAGAAAATCCCGCACCCGGAGGCGGGTAAACAAAATTGTGTACTAGTTCCATGAAAATGGACGTCACACTAAACTCCAAAACAAATAAATGAACTAAAATTAAAAAAACATACAAGACTAACAAAGGCCAGAAGCTCCTGACTTGGGACAGGCGCAAATATGCGGCGGGGTTAAACATGTTTTGTAAGATCTCAACCCTCCCCCTATACCTTTAGCCAATGTAGAATAAACAAACACACAGCAATACGCACAGTAAAACTCAGTTTAAAAGAAGTCTTGAGTCCGATGTCAGAATAGGTAACAAAAGAAACTAAGAAAAATGACAATGATACATAAATTAACAAAGGACTACTAGCAGTTACTGACATGCCAGCTCAAGACCTCAATTAAACTGATTGAAAGATTATGTCTTCATCATATGAAAATCAAGCACAATCCCTCCCGTCAGGGGTTTAGTATCATACCGTCATAAAATATTGAAGAACATAACCCGTATCATGGCAACAACTGGTTTTAGAATAAATGTGTTTATTTCCGATGCAAAGACCCTATGAGTGAATCAATATTAATACCAAAATATGCAATCTTTAATGACCTGACAACAGTATCGTAACTATATCCCTTCTGAATAAGTCTGTTTAAAGGTTTGGTTAGCTTTTGAGGCGAATGTCGACATTTTTGTGCTTTGTACAGTATATTACCATAAAAGATTGGATGTGAAATACCTGAATGTATAAGATGCCTGCATGTTGATTTATATTTACGAATGATGTCCTGGTACCGATCATAAAATTTAGTAAATGTTTTGACTAGTTTGTGATATCGAAAACCCTGGTGTAATAATTTTTCAGTAATACAGAGGTTTCTTTCGTTAAAATCAAATACGTTGTTACATACACGAGCGAATCACCTGACAAGTGAACGTCACCATCTAAAAATGGATAATTAACAATAGGAAATGAAAAATCATCTCTTTTATCATAAATTTTGGTACTAAGCTTCCCGTTAAAGATATATATATCAAGATCCAGGAAAGGACAGTGTTCAATGATAGTATGTTAGTCAGTTCAGCAGGATAAATCTCTTTAGTGTACATACTGAAGTCGTCATTATTGAGAGCCAATATATCATCCAAATATCTAAAAGTGTTATTAAATTTTTGTATCAGATGTTGTATCGATGGGTCTTTGCTATTTTTAGTCATAAATTGTAACTGATAACAATACAGAAACAGGTCCGCAATAAGTGGTGCATAGTTAGTCCCCATTGGAATTCCGATAACTTGACGATATACGGAATCTCCATAGCGAACAAAAATTTATCTAGAAAAAATTCAAGGGCAGTTATCGTATCAAAGCAGGTTCAATTGACATCGTTCTTTTGTCTGTTGTTACTATAAAATGACCTAAAAGAGTTAGAACATATATATTCGCATTCTCACTTTTTAAATGCCAAATCTCCTTGGATATATTTTTAACCTTTACTATTTATCCATTTTTGATTATATACTTATGACGTGGGTCGGTATCTATACATCTCTCCATTGTGTTATTGTGCTATGGTCAATTTTGAGTTATTGTCATTTATTTTGCTGATGATCTTTGTCTATATGCCATTTTGTGTTTCTTTGTTGAAACAGTTATTTGTTTTTATAGTGATTAAGATTATATTACAATGTTGCCTGCTGTTCTCCAATTTTTGACGTTTTTAGCTTTATGTCTGTTTGTTTTGCTCACTAATTGTTGTCAACATAATGAAATTCTATGCGACTGTCATACAAGTTAGAGGTTTAGCTAGCTAAAACAACAGGTTTTATCCACCATATTCTACATAAGTAAATGTCTGTACCAAGTCAGGAATATGACAGTTGTTTTCCGTTCGTTAGATGTGTTTGAGCTTTTGATTTTGCCATTTTGAATTTTCGTTGGAGTTCGGTATTTTTAAAAAAAAAATTTCGAATGTCTTTAGAACTGACAGAAGACCTGTTACACGTCTGCAATACTAGTGACAGCTCACTTTATACACTTCGAAAGTCTTTATAACTGACAGAAGACCAGTTACACGTCTGTAATACCAGTGACAGCTTATTTAAAGGGGCATTAGCTGTTAAATTCATGTTCACCGATTTGACTCAAATTCTCATATTTGATTTATAACATACTTAAACGTATATCCACATTATAAAAAGTCTAAAATAAACAATTTACAATGCATGGACTCGATAATATGTATCAACATTTCGTGTGTATTTTAGTCTAGACGCTATCTAATTAACCATCGAAGTCACCTCCGAAGACTGCCGACGATCATATAACCCGATGTAAACATAAAAATAGATATAAATAGATAGCGAACGCGTGCAATTAGATTTTTCAAGGTCTGTTTGATTTCATATCATAGGTTAGACAAGTATGTTAATCATCGTTTTTACCTGTATAACAAAGAGTTTATGTGGATCAAATCAGTCTACGAAATTGTTAAACTTATTTTCACTTTCAATGTTGACATTCTTTTCCATAGCTAAACACGCCTAGTGCATGCGTAACCCATCTCTAGCTAAGGGGTTAAATTTGAGGTCACATGAATACGGATTCAATGAGGTCGAATTATTCATTTGCCAGTGGTTAATTCATCAGCGATGTTTCTTAGCTTATTTTGACAAAATTGAACCAAACTGGTTGTTAAAAGCGAATTATTATTTCAGTATTTCACTTTCATTAATGATTGAACCAAAAAACATATATTTTATTTTTTGTATATCTCGTAGCTAATGGCCTTTAACCCACTTCGAATGCCTTTAGAACTCACTAAACATATATTTACGTCAAACGTCAGTTACGCCACTGGTTCAACTGACTTTTTATTTGAACTATGTTTTTGGTTGTTAACTTTAATTAACGTATGCCCACGATCTCTTTTTATATTTAACTAAGACTCCATATATTAACAGAACTGGTAGTACCTGTCAGTTTTATGTACAAATGACATAAACAAGTGACGAAAATCTTCAAAGTTTATGTTTTACAAATCAAATGTCTGTAGAATGGTCACATCATCTGAACTGATATATAGATTATAACCAAGTCAGATTTATTATCATACCGTGTGTCAAATGACTGCAGAAGTGACGTACAAGTAAACCATGTCAAATGCTTGTTGGAATTTTCACCGTAGCCAGCCTATTCTAGCCACTCACAATTCAACCTCTCTACCTGCTCACTGTGGGCAGCTCATTCCTAACCACTCAAATTTAACCTCAGAAGATTTACCCTTTCTGTGCTCAGTTGGAAAAAAAACACTTTATAAATTTGGTGTGTTTAAAGCACTTTTCTAGATTTACCTTATAGAAACGCTCAAAGCAAATGATTTGAAAGCCAAGGATGTATAACTTCCTGAAGAGTATATATTGGGATATAATTGCTGTTATTATACTTCACGTCAAAATGCCAGATTTTGATTGGTTAATACGAGGGAGACAATTTACTCTATCCCATCAAATACTCTTTTACCCTTCACGGAGACGCTTGCTCAAGTGTGCGCTTTATAATACGGATGATTGTTATGTACAAGACAACATAGTTTATTACTTTGAATTTGAAATTTAATAGAGAGTAATAACAGAACATTCAGTATAATAAATTAAATAACACATATCTGAGAGGGTGATAGAGCAGATTGCAACCCCTCGAAAAGACATTGTCAACCTTGGCTTCGCCTCAGTTGACAATGTCTTCTCGGGGTAACAATCTGCTCTATCACCCTCTCAGCTTTGTGTTATTTATATATTGTCATATTTTGGGTTATTTGGTGCGACGAATGTGCCAAATTAAATCAAACCAAAAGAAACATTTCCCAAAAAGATAAATGCAAGATTTTTGATATTATATAAATATTAATAAAATATAATACTGTATAAAAAGTAAAATAACAAAAATACCGAACTCCAAGGAAAATTCAAATCGAGCCCCCTATCAAATGGCAAAATCAAAAGCTCAAACACATAACACGAATGGAAAACAACTGTCATATTCCGGACCTGGTACAGACATTTCCTTATGTAGAAAATGGTGGATTAAACCTGGTTTTGTAGCTAGCTAAACCTCTCACTTGTATGACAGTAGCATACAATTCCATTATATTGACAACAATGTGTGAACAAAACAAACAGACATAATAGATGTCAAAAATAGGGGTACAGCAGTCAATATCGTGTTATAATCTTAATCACTATAAAAACAAACAAATATATCAACAAAGAAAAACAAAATGGCATATAGACAAAGCACATAAGCAAAATAACATTTAATAAGAAAAAAAATTAATAATTCTGCTAATTACATAATTATGAAGATTAGATCATCTTACAGTGTAACAGTTTAATTTATGGCCTCTTATAATTGATTACCAGATTAATAGATTATTGTAACAACACATGAATTAATAAAATCAAAACATTAATTAATATTCCCTTGTCAAAATATTGCAATAAAATATGATTTGATTTTTTTATTGTTCTTTCTTCTTTTTTATTAAAACGGTTTTTG